CTTTCTCCTTGTTCTCCTTTCTCCTTGTTCTCCTTTCTCCTTGTTCTCCTTTCTCCTTGTTCTCCTTTCTCCTTGTTCTCCTTTCTCCTTGTTCTCCTTTCTCCTTGTTCTCCTTTCTCCTTGTTCTCCTTTCTCCTTGTTCTCCTTTCTCCTTGTTCTCCTTTCTCCTTGTTCTCCTTTCTCCTTGTTCTCCTTTCTCCTTGTTCTCCTTTCTCCTTGTTCTCCTTTCTCCTTGTTCTCCTTTCTCCTTGTTCTCCTTTCTCCTTGTTCTCCTTTCTCCTTGTTCTCCTTTCTCCTTGTTCTCCTTTCTCCTTGTTCTCCTTTCTCCTTGTTCTCCTTTCTCCTTGTTCTCCTTTCTCCTTGTTCTCCTTTCTCCTTGTTCTCCTTTCTCCTTGTTCTCCTTTCTCCTTGTTCTCCTTTCTCCTTGTTCTCCTTTCTCCTTGTTCTCCTTTCTCCTTGTTCTCCTTTCTCCTTGTTCTCCTTTCTCCTTGTTCTCCTTTCTCCTTGTTCTCCTTTCTCCTTGTTCTCCTTTCTCCTTGTTCTCCTTTCTCCTTGTTCTCCTTTCTCCTTGTTCTCCTTTCTCCTTGTTCTCCTTTCTCCTTGTTCTCCTTTCTCCTTGTTCTCCTTTCTCCTTGTTCTCCTTTCTCCTTGTTCTCCTTTCTCCTTGTTCTCCTTTCTCCTTGTTCTCCTTTCTCCTTGTTCTCCTTTCTCCTTGTTCTCCTTTCTCCTTGTTCTCCTTTCTCCTTTTTCTCCTTGCTTTCTACTGGCCACGCAGCACACACCCGCCTTGTGTTCTCCGTTTAAATTCCTTTCAGAATCTTGTTTCCCATCAGTATTTGAAGGAAAAAATAAGTGTTTTTCCACTTTCTCATGAGTTGCAGTTCCGTTTTCCATGTTCGCTGACTAATGAGTTGACTCGATTCCCTTCATTCTCCTCTCACATCTCTCCATTCCTCCCACTTGTGCTCCGTTGTTCCCGTTTGCTCCCTCTGCTTTCCCCCAACTTCACTTCTTTTGCTCTAGTACACCTTCTCCCCAAGGCAAATCACGTTCTAAGGCGCCTCATAGTCAGACTCCTGCTCTTGCTTGCTCCCTGCAGGCGGCTCAATTGACGTGGTGTGGAAGTGATGATGAACCCTCCCTTTAGCACAAGAACGAATGGCGCTTACATGCTCTTTCTGGTTATCTTGAGTCGACTCAAGATCTTCTTTTAGGCCCCTCATAGTCAGACTCCTGCTCTTGCTTGCTCCCATCAGGCGGCTCAGTTGACGTGGTGGTGATGAATGAACCCTCCCTTTGGCACGAGAAGCTTTTAAGACACTTCAGAAGTCGTCTCACTCACTCCTCACGAGAGTGCCTCATAAGTTGACTCCTGCTCCTGCATTTGCTCCCTGCAGGCGGCTCGGTTGAGATGGTTGTGATGAACCCTCCCTTTGGCACGAGAACCAAGGGCGCTGACATGCTCTTTCTGGAAGCAGGACTCAAGGTGAGACACATGGTCGACCTGTGTGTGAGGCTTAGGTGATGGGGACAGAGTGTTTTGTTCCTTTGACAAGTCTTAAACCTCCCTTCGGCACAAGAACCAAGGGCGCTGACATGCTCTTTCTGGCAGCAGGACTCAAGGTGGGTGCACCTGTGTGTGAGGCTTTACGTGAAATGAAGTGAAGTGTTCCTTGACAGAGTCTCAAAGTGCCATGTGGCGCTCGGACCAAGGGCGCTGACATGCTGTTTCTGGCAGCAGGACTCAAGGTGAGACGCAGGGTCTACTTGTGTGTGAGGCTTAAGGGAGGGGACATGCAGCATCAAACTTGGAAGAGACTCAAACTGCCCTTTGGTGCTCGGACCAAGGGCGCTGACATGCTCTTTCTGACAGCAGGACTCAAGGTGAGGTGCAAAGGTCTACCTGTGTGTGAGGCTTAAGCGAGGGGACATGCAGCATCAAACTTGGAAGAGACTTAAAGTGCCCTTTGGCGCTCGGACCAAGGGCGCTTACATGCTCTTTCTGGCGGCAGGGCTCAAGGTGAGGCACGGTGCCATAAAGAGGAAATTCTTTTCAAACGGATTATATTATAGGAGGAGAATTCGATAAGGTGCGCTTGTTTTATAAGGAGCATCAGTTCAGGATGGGTGGCCTATGGTGATTCCTTTTCCATGCACAGCTCACAAGTCAAGAATCAGAAGCGCTTTGCTGCCCTCCATGTGCTTCCTCTCACATGCCGTTTCCCGTGCTCTTTAACCTGTTAATTGTGACTCTTAGCTTCTTAATAGTCGTCTTCTCTAGTTGTCCATTCTCTTGTGTCCCCCGTCCTCGTGTGCCCCTTGTCCCTTGTGCCCCTCAACCTCGTGTGCCCCTTGTCCCTTGTGCCCCTCAACCTCGTGTGCCCCTTGTCCCTTGTGCCCCTCAACCTCGTGTGCCCCTTGTCCCTTGTGCCCCTCAACCTCGTGTGCCCCTTCAGGCTGCGTCAGTAGCCGTTTACTCACTCCACAAATCATCCACCCGAGAGGTGCGAAACCCTTTCACTCTCGTTTTCCCCCTTCTCATTTTCCTTCTGTTTCCGTGTTTCCCTCACAACCTTCTCATGCTTGTCCTGTTTCATTCGTATCCAAACCACTTCATCTCCCATTTTCTCACTTCTTTCATAGCCTTCTGTCACCCTCATTATTCCCGGCTTTTCTTCTGTATCTTATCCAATTTTCTCACCCCACCCTGCCTAGAGGTCTGTTTCATTCCAATGGCCTCGCATTCTGACTGGTTGAGTCATCTCAGCTCCTACATAAGTAGTTCCCACCTGCATTCTTTTTACCTTGCTGTGCGATTGTCTTTCTTTCTTTGTTTATTTTTTTATGAATGCACCAGCATGTACAACGGGCAGCGTTAAGAGATTTTGGCGCCAAGAGTGCTGAAGTGCTGTATCAGGTATGTGCTTTATTGTGTTTAAAATATTAGGGCAATTTTATGCAAATTTCCGAGGTTGTGTCAAGATTAAGGATGCCATCTAATTCTTGTTAACCTCCTGTGTTGTTCAGGTTAGGTACAATCTACCAGCAATGTACAAATTTCATAAGAAGACAGAGGTAGACATTGAAGTCGATTTATGGCGATTTGTGCCTTATTGAGGATAAATGCTGATGCTTTTTTCTCCACGTGAAGCGTGAGGATCTGCTGACACCACTAATGACCACCATGCCGGAATTCTCGGCGTTGCGCATTTTGATTGGCTGCATTCCATTTTTGACTGCAACTGAACAGCCCGACCCGCGGGCAGGTGAACCTCGTCAAATTCTTCACCGACGGTTTTGAGTCAGCTGTTGGCTCTCCTCACCTGGACCGAGCATGCTCTCTCACCGAACCTGACACCGTCATATCGCGGCTGCTTTCACTGAACCTGAGAAGTTGTGGTCCGGATCCGCACCGCACCAAACCACCTCCACGACGGCTTGATACATTTGGATTCGCTGAGCTGCTACCCGTGGGCAGCAAAGCGAACTTGTCCGCAATGTGAGCGCACAAGCTGGCGAGGGTTCGACTTCAACCATGTCCCCGATGATTGGACCTAAACCGCTTGCTTCAACTGAGGAGCTCGATGTCCACGTGCTCCAATGGATGTCTACTCTGGAAGGGCCAATTGGTTGAGAAGCGATAGGAGTCTAACGTGGCACCTGTAAGCTCTGTAACAACTATCATTTTCAACGTCGTTCAAAGGATCGACGGTCTAGATTCGTTATGTCGGCTGAATGGATGGTGATATTTTCATAAGACGGTATACACGGTCGATCTGTTGGACACACAACACCGTCGATCTGCGATCAATTCTAGTCAATGAGCGACCAGGACAAGCCGATCGGTCAGCAGGATCGTCGATCTCCTGCCAATAATGTAATCAACGGCTTTGAGCACCCGAGCCTTATCCCTGGCCTGACCGAACCAAACTGATCACACAAGGCACACCTCAGTCAGCCAGAGGGGAAGGTAGGATTCTGCTTCAGTCTCCTGCTTTCACACTTGGTCCAAATTCACTACTCAAGCCTGATTTCACTCATCAGACGAGAAGTTATGAGCAGTAGTGATACAGAAGGAGAGAGTGCGCGCAGTTGAATTTAGCCTGTTGAGCTCTAGCTTGTATTGTTAAATCTATCTGACAACCGCCATTTATTATTTTCCCTTCGGTGGCTTCGAGGCGTCGTCTGCAATGCCAATTACCATGATTGCGTCCCGCGTCTCGAAGCTGTTGCTGGATCCGGATCTTAAGGAGAACTTTTTGAAGGTTGCGCATGTTGAGAAGTCGTTAAAGTCTCATCGACCACTGAAGCATCTACCATCAGCTTATTCCAAGGCAGAGCACGTCCATGGAAAGGCTATGACTCTAATTAGTATGATGGCCATGCTTGTGCTGACTCCTCCGATCGCCATCTACATGTAAGATAACGTGTACTACGAAAATCCCAGACTGGAGTGCCAGAGGCACATCTAATAATGAAGTCAATCAGTAATAACAAAAATCCTACTCACTTGCTAAATGTTACTCGTTTCGAGGTGCAGGTGGTTCATTATGGCCAAAACGGACGGGTCAATTCTTAAATTCTGGCATTTTTGCAAAGCAAGGAATCCGTGATGGATGGACTCCTGGAGGCCTGGCCATCGCCGTTTTCCCCCATTGCATGGAAGATCATAGGCGCATTCGCAGCTTTCGAAGCAGTTCTTCAGGTGCGTTGTTGGGTAGCCACTGTCGAAAGTAAATGAACATTTTGAAATGGCAGTTTCCTAATCAGATATGATCAGCTTAGAGGGATGTGTCTAAGAGCCTTTCATTCCCTCACGTCGGCAGGTTCTCCTGCCTGGAAAGGAATTTGTTGGACCCGTTTCACCAGCTGGAAACCGACCAATCTATTGGGTAAGATCTAATCAGATGAACTCAATACCGCCTTCCCGCTCGTCCTTTGTTCAAATTCTGCGTGACTAGCCGTTACCGCCGTTTCGGATACAACCGCCTCCCTCTTCGAATTCCTCTGAATTTCCATGAGAATCGCGTACATCCCCTGGATGCACTTCAATGCGAGAGATTCTCTTTTCCTTCAACTGACACTTTACTAAATATCATATGCCCTGCAGTGTAACGGATTTCAAGCATACATGGTCTCCATTGTTACATACATCTTCATCTGGAGGTAAAGTCTGCTTCGCCCTTGCCTGCTGCACCCCTGCTTACAAGCCGTATCATTCCGCGTGTCTGCGGATTCTCTGCATATAGTTAGGATTGTCGCACTTTCCATGAGGATCGCCCGTGAAACATACTCTTTCACAATTTTCCCAAATCAACCCGTCCATGAAAGGCTCCCACACAGCAAATTCTCCTGCATCGATTGAGTGGTGAAACTCATTTGGTTCTCTCCCTCCCTTTCACCAGAGCCGGGTGGTTCAACCCCTCCCTCGTTTACGATAACTTCGGTAGCATCCTCTCTGCTCTCAACGTTGCCAGCCTTCTCCTCTGCCTCTTCCTCTACGCCAAGGTATGCTCTCTTCCTCTCATGCTTATCCACTCCGTGTGTTTTTCATTATGTTTCGCGCGTTTGTTGAAATTGACCGATTAAAATCCTGTTGTGGAGTCAAGAATCCGTGTGTTCTGTGACTGGCTTTCGCAGGGTCACCTTGCTCCGTCATCCTCTGACTGGGGGTCTTCTGGAAACTTCATTCAGGACTTCTTCTGGGTGAGCGTCCTCCCTCGCCTTCCTGTCGCTTCTCTTTTGTCACTTCTTTTTGTCACTCCGTAACGTGACTGTACCCGTTGCAGTACTGCCTGTTTCCACGCGTTGGCAAGCAGTCCCACACCAACCAAGACGTTCACCAACGGCCGTCCCCCTGCATGTGTGTTTGTTCGTCTGCACACTAAATTCCGTGTTGTGCTTCCCTTTCTATGCTCCACTCCTATTCTCAGGGAATGGAGCTGTACCCACGCATCGGCAAGTACTTTGACATCAAGACCTTCACCAACTGCCGCTTTGGCATGATGTCGTGGGCGCTGCTGGCCATCACGTACGCCATCAAGCAGCTGGAGGCGAACGGGCGCTTGGCGGATTCCATGGTTGTGAGCGTGGCGCTCATGCTCGTGTACATCTCCAAGTTCTTCTACTGGGAGTCAGGCTACTGGAGCACCATGGACATCCAGCATGACCGCGGTGAGGTTTCTCTCTGTGCTAATGATGCAGTAGGGCCTTTTTGTCACCTTACTCGTGTACATGCTCGTGTACATGCTCGTGTACATCTCCAAGTTCTTCTACTGGGAGTCAGGCTACTGGAGCACCATGGACATCCAGCATGACCGCGGTGAGGTTTCTCTCTGTGCTAATGATGCAGTAGGGCCTTTTTGTCACCTTACTCGTGTACATGCTCGTGTACATGCTCGTGTACATGCTCGTGTACATGCTCGTGTACATGCTCGTGTACATGCTCGTGTACATGCTCGTGTACATGCTCGTGTACATGCTCGTGTACATGCTCGTGTACATGCTCGTGTACATGCTCGTGTACATGCTCGTGTACATGCTCGTGTACGTGCTCGTGTACGTGCTCGTGTACGTGCTCGTGTACGTGCTCGTGTACGTGCTCGTGTACGTGCTCGTGTACGTGCTCGTGTACGTGCTCGTGTACGTGCTCGTGTACGTGCTCGTGTACGTGCTCGTGTACGTGCTCGTGTACGTGCTCGTGTACGTGCTCGTGTACGTGCTCGTGTACGTGCTCGTGTACGTGCTCGTGTACGTGCTCGTGTACGTGCTCGTGTACGTGCTCGTGTACGTGCTCGTGTACGTGCTCGTGTACGTGCTCGTGTACGTGCTCGTGTACGTGCTCGTGTACGTGCTCGTGTACGTGCTCGTGTACGTGCTCGTGTACGTGCTCGTGTACGTGCTCGTGTACGTGCTCGTGTACGTGCTCGTGTACGTGCTCGTGTACGTGCTCGTGTACGTGCTCGTGTACGTGCTCGTGTACGTGCTCGTGTACGTGCTCGTGTACGTGCTCGTGTACGTGCTCGTGTACGTGCTCGTGTACGTGCTCGTGTACGTGCTCGTGTACGTGCTCGTGTACATGCTCGTGTACATGCTCGTGTACATGCTCGTGTACATGCTCGTGTACATGCTCGTGTACATGCTCGTGTACATCTCCCAAGTTCTTCTACTGGGGGTCGGGCTACTGGAGCACCATGGACATCCAGCACGACCGTGGTGAGCCGTTTCCGAAGTAATGAAGCAGCAGTGGTTGTTTGCCACTTTTGTTGGGAGTAGTAGCAACGTAACGGGTTTTATCACCTCTACTCCTTGTCGTGCACCAATCCTTACCTGGGACGTTTCAGCTTGTCCTGCCTGGACCCAATTGTGTCCGCCCAATTAACACCATCTCTTTCTCCCCATGCTCTGAATTGCCCCCGACTGAACGCGTATCTTCCAGTTCTTGGTTTCTGTTCTCCCAGACCCTCCCCTCCCCTCACCTCCCATTTACCCCTCCCTTTCCCATTCTCTTTCTCCCTTCGTGCTTCTTCAATCCCGGTCCTCCTGCTGTCCCATCAGCCGGCTACTACCTCTGCTGGGGATGCATGGTGTGGGTGCCCTGCATCTACACCTCGCCCGCCCTCTACCTCGTCAACCACCCCCTGCACCTCGGCACTCCTGTGAGTACCGGTCCTCCCTGCGTGCCTCTCTGTGTGCCTGCTTGTCTGCCTGCTTGCCCCTCTCTCTCTGCCTCCTGCTTACCTCCCCCTTCTCTACCCATTCCCTGCTTTTCCCCCAATCTGCCCTCCTTTCATGCATTGAACCATTTCGTCCATGGGTTTCTAGTCCGCTCATACCCCTCTTCCAGCCGACGCATCAGTCTGCGGCCCTCTATCTCCCTCTTCTTCCCCTCCGCAGGTCGCGATGGCCATGTTTCTGTGTGGTTGTGCATGCATTGCAATCAACTACGACTCGGACCGCCAACGACAGCACTTCCGGTCCACACACGGCCGCTGCACCATCTGGGGCCGCCCTCCTGCCAAGGTGGGCTGCATGACTTTTGTTACCTGGTTCCAGCTCTAAAGCCAACGCTATGGTGATTAGAACAGCCCTAACAGCAGCACTGCATGTCCACACACGGCCGCTGCACCATATGGGGACTTGTCAATGCGGGCCTTCCGGCCCTGAATATGTCATGTGCCTGTTCTGAGTTGCGAAAAAGGCGCAGAATTAACCAAAGAAGCATGCTTAAACAACGAAACCCTTGCATTAGGACTTTTTCAAACGAGCTGTCATCCATCCCATCGCCCTCCTCATCTGTGGTGCAGATTGAAGCAGAGTACGTGACCGAGAAGGGCGAGAACAAGAAAAGCCTGCTGCTCGCGTCAGGATGGTAAGACCCATGCTACTTTTCCCTCCATACTCCAGTCCTCTTTCGGTCAGAAATTCCGCTCCATACATCTCTCCCTAAATCTTCCCATGGTTTTTTCTACTCTGATCTCCCTGCCAGCATGACCTCGCCTTCTCCTGCCTTTAACGGTCTGCAACCCTTGCTGCTGTGTGTTTGATTATCGCCCTTGCTGCTGTGCGGTGCAGGTGGGGGCTCTCTCGCCACTTCCACTACGTGCCTGAAATCCTTGCTTCCTTCTTCTGGACCTTCCCAGCACTCTTCAACAATGTAAGGCGCTTCCTCACACACTGTACCATGCACATTGTTCCATAGGGGGGACAGCTCACAAGCAAATTAACTGACCATGCTGTGTCGCATGTTCCATAGTTACCTTCTTGCGTTTCTATCTCCCATTTCCTTTTGTAGCGATTCTCTGTCTCGTTTTCCTTCCCTATGCTGCACTGTAACAGGGAATTCAGTATTTCTACTGCATCTACCTCACAATCCTCCTATTCGACCGAGCTGTCCGTGATGACGTGCGCTGCAAAAAGAAGTGAGTTGTGCTGTAGCTAAGCTGTGAGACATGTGCGATGCTCATCGTTGTGTGAGACATTTGAATTTGCCATTTTGTTGTGAAACAAGTTTGGCATTGTGTTGTGGGATGTGAGTTTTCCATTTGGTGCGGCATGGGACTTAGCCATTCTGTTGTGAGACACGCCGAATCCCGCTGTTTGATGTGCGACATTGTTACCACAATTCTGCTGGTGCAAGAACGTTTTGTCTGCATTGCCTTGTGCTTGTTCTGTTACCTCTTATACTCGTAGTCATCTTCTCCACCCTCCGCCCTCCTCCCCTTGTCACTCCATCCGGTACGGTACCTACCCACGTGTTTTCAGGTATGGCAAGTTCTGGGACAAGTACTGCAAGCTGGTACCTTACAAGGTGGTTCCAGGCATCTTCTAGAAGTTGCCTGTCTTGGTTAGATATGCAGTGTTGTTAGGTTTCTTTTTGCCCATGCGGCAAGGAGTGTATGGAATGTTGTGAATGTATTTTTTGCCCTTGATGCATACACTCTGGCCGGGTGGGCTGCCCCCAATCCATTCAATACATCAGCTTTTGAACAATACTGTCTTGCTTTTCATATCAGGTGCAACACACTTCTCATGATGTAATGCTGCTAACGACCTGCTCAGCTGATGGCTATACAAGATGTTTTCTATTCAACAGGCTGATGGCACTCCCCGAGCTTTTTAAGGCAAAGTGTAAGACGAGGATTTGCTGTACAAAGATACCATTCTGATACTGTGTGTAGAAGTCCTCCAGCTTTCCCCCAATCGTGTCCAGATGCTTCCAGCCTTCTATAAGCTTTGGCATGCGCAGTGGACCATACACTCTGTGTGCGTTAAAAGCAATTGTGTCATTTCCCACAGGCACTCCCAAGTAAAAAAGCCCTTCTGGCTTAACCAGGCCCTGGATCTGAAAGCAGGGCAAAAGGGGAGAGGGAAGAGTGAGATGCAGATTTGGGTTATGAGAAGGGTAAAGGGGGGGATCCTCTACTGGAAGACATGTAGACAGACACCTGACCTGAAACAACAGACACAATCCTTCTTTCATGCAGCACAACCACAGCAACTCATAGGGAGGACGATGGACCAGCCACAACCCATTTCAACTACTCTGTAGCCCTGAACACACCTTCTTCATCCTCTGTAGGTCGCCTGTGGGATTCATGGGATCGCCGTATCTTCCCAATCCGTCGTGCTCTATCGACGAGAAAGAAACAATGACGTCAAACACGTCATCCATCGCATCTAATTGCTCGATCGAGATCGACTTGATCCGAGGGTGTGACACCACTGGAGGGTTGAAATCGACGGTCGTGATCGACCCTGCATCAGCTGCAATGCAGATCGCCTCCACCCATGGAGTCTGACTACCGATAATGAGTACACTTTTACCCCTAATCGGATAGCGATCAAACGCCTCGAAAAAAAACAATGATGACGAATCGTCGTAGCCGCTGAGGTGCCCGGATGACAAATTTCGCGAGCGGGCCACCTGAAGCATGCTGTTGATTTCCTCGTCTGTCCAAACGGGTGGAACTGCGCCGGAATCTGGAGCGTCGGTATTGAAGAAAAACGGTTGCACTGCAATCTGACCGTTCATCGTGTACAGATCGCGAACCGACGGCCGGACCCAGTCCCAAGGCACAGGTCCGGGAAAACCGAACCCGTCTATGTGAAAGCGAGAAGGACGAACTGTCTGTTTGGTTGACATTGGTACGCTAACAGCAGATGCATTCTGTACGGACTCATTGGCAGTTAGTACTGTATCGGTAGAGTCAGAGGGGTTCGCAGGAGTTAAGTTCGAGGCTTTAACAGTGTCTGGTAGCAGGAGGGAATTGGATCCCATCAAAAACGTTTTTCGATGTACGCTTATGGAGTCAGCTTGCGGTGATATTGTAACTGTTTTTCGGGTCCAAAACACGAACCGGAAAGCAGGGAGGGAAAACGGAAGGAGGGGGGAAATGGGGGGGGGGGGGGGGGGGGGGGGGGGGGGGGGGGGGGGGGGGGGGGGGGGGGGGGGGGGGGGGGGAACAAAACGCAGAGAGAGGGGATGATTAGCCAATCATGCTCCTCTCACCACTCTCTGAATGGCTTCTAACTCCGGAAAAGACTCGGAAAATGTTCGACAAATCTGGTGCCACCTCCTATTCCAAAACATAAGAGTAGTAATCCCGAGAGTTTCTCAGACGCATTATCTAGGTGTCTGGTAGCTGCTGTAAAATACCTTGCACGGAGCGATTTTCGAGAATAAGGACGGCGAGGAAGGTGAAAGCGCACACTATGCAGACCTCTCTCCACATGATGCCGCCTTTCCCCATTGCGGTTACTGACGTCGAAGTTAACATGTTGTTTTCTCTTAACGAATCTAGAGAATCTACTTGTTATCTAACTCAGCCGTCACGGGATCGTCTAAAGGCAGAGAACAAAGAAAACAAAGAACCCTAATATCCACCGTTATGCTTCTGCTAACAAGAAGTCACGTTGAACGGGGGACGTAGTGAATAAATTAGGTAAGTAGGAGAATGAGGGAGATGAGGCACGGTTATCAGGTAAACACGCAAATCAGTATCGTGGTGGTGACAGGCGAAGAGAGGCCGGTTACTCAGCATGATTCGACGCATCTCGCATGTTCGCACAACGTCAACCTGGTCGCACGTTCGCACAACTTCAACCTCGTTCGGAATGACAGGCCGTGTTCGGTTCGTGTCGTGTTGGTGGGAGGGACCAGTGGTGGTGTGTGGCGCGACGCGGCAGGAGCTACTGTACGCAATTCTGTACCCATTTCACCAGGGCCCGGACGGACTGCTGGGTTTGTTCAGGTCTTGGCGGAAGGAAATATATAAAGCTTTCAACTAATCTTGCACATGGAAATATATAAAGCTTTCAACGTGGACGTAGAAGGTGTACTCCGTACGCGCTTTGGAATCTTTGTGGAGGCTTGGCTTCTTCAAACATCAGTCAATGCAAGTCAGCATCCACCGTGAACCTCGGTGGCCGAAATTATTGGAGCCGCGCCAAACATTGCGACGAACGTATGAGTTCCGCGAACCCGTCCAGAATTTGGGCCTCACTTGAGCCTCATCTGCCAGAAAATCAAGCGACGCCCAAATTCTGGTGCAATGCAAGGTACGTCTGCTTCACGATTGAGCAAAACACAATTATTGGGAGCGCCCAACAGCAGGCGCCTTGCCCATCCCATTCCGACCTGACAACCCACGACAATAAGGCCGAAGAGAAGCATATATAATCGGCTGAGAGCACCTCATTCATTGAGCCTTCACATATAGAATAGCGTTTTACCACATTATCTATTTGCCTTTCGACATAGACTCATCCTCGTTCGTCTTCTTGCCGCGTGAGATGGCTTTTTTCGTTGGCAAATCCACCCGTCGTTTCTTGTTCTCGGCCTTCTTTTTGGTTCTGCTTCTGGACGTCGCATATGGCACCGATTGCTCTTCCTTCTGCGGGACTTACACGGGGGCGGCTATGCGCTCGGATTGCCTCAACAACTGCCAGGTGATTTTGCTGGATTTATGAGAGTTTAGGTAACAGAATTAAGGGAATCGAAAGAATCGAAGTATCAGTCCAGCTATTCGCTGCAGACTTTAAAAATTTCCCAGGATTCCATCAATCCTAGCTGATTCTCCAAACTAGAACCCCTAAAATCTTCCCCCTTTCCCCCTCCCCTCACCCCCTCCTCCTCCCTCCTTCGTTCCCCCCATCAGACGTGTGAGGCGACCGCCAAGCCGTTTCTGTGCATCGCTTATTTCAGCGACAAAAGCTCGACGCATTGTAAGTCCGCGTCCTTGTTGTGAAAGGAGTTGACTATCCAGCAGACTCAGTCCCACATCAGACGTGCGAGGCGTCTGCCAAGCCGCTCCTGTGCATCGCTTATTTCAGCGGTAAAAGCTCCAAGCAATGTAAGTCCCACAATTTGCTTCCCTTCTTTCCTCCCTTCCCTTCATTCCCGTCGCAGGCGGGTCATGCAGCAGCTGGCCTCGTGTGCTGCTGTGAACCGGTTTCACATTGTCAATCTCTCGGACTTTTCAAATAGCGCTTCGTTCGTTCGTTCGTTCGTTCGTTCGTTCTTTCTCTCTTTCCCGTCGCAGGGGGCTGCGCGTACAGCTGCTGGCCTCGCCTGCTGATATGGCTCGAAAGCTCTCTCGTCAATTTGGGGGGTGTCGTAAAAACGCTTCGTTCGTTTCTTCCATTTCTTTCCCGTCGCAGGGGGATGCTCGTACAGCTGCTGGCCTCGCATCCGGCTGTGGCTCGGAATCGTTCTTGTCAAATATTTGAGGCTTCCCAAGAACCGCTTTTAGTAAACAGTTGTGCTTCCCTTCCCATCTTTCCCGTCGCAGGGGGGTGCTCGTACAGCTGCTGGCCTCGCATCCTGCTGTGGCTCGGAATCGTTCTTGTCGTGGGTCTGGTCGTCCTTGTCGTCTTCTGCTGCCTGCGCCGCAACCGCAAGATCGCCGAAGCGAAATACGCCGCCAATGCCCCACCTGCGGCCGCGGGGGCAACTTACCCGCCGCCCGGAGGCTATCCTCCCGCAGTCAACGTGTAACATCGCGTTGCTATCCAAGAGGTTTTTGGTCGAGAATCTCTACAATAAAGAGGCAGGTTACCTCTTAGCTTGTTAGGGAGCCTAACCTTGGCTCTCTGAGAACACGAGAGACTGCAGCTGTGCTCATACGCTGCACGAGAGATGCTAATTGCCTCCCGATAATGTGTTTCATTTGAAGCTATCACATCAAGCCAACTGTGTTTGTTACCTAGTTTGTTTTTTTTAACTACTTTCTGATAGTTGTCCTCCTTGGGGTAGACTTACTGTGACTGGATGAAACTCACACATCACCATAACAACACACAATAAACAGGTTGCAAAATGTTGGGCTGAGATGGCCCCTTAGGATCTTTTCAGGAGTAACTCTGGGTAGGATAGTATTGTAACAGCGGAAGCTTTAATAAAACTTGTGAATCACCTTGCGCTAGTGTGTGAGGGCAAAGTAGATTGATTATAACAGGAAAGTACAAGAATATATAGTAGTGCAAGGAATATCAAAGGATACAGTTATAACTACTTTTACTGTTGCTGTTGCGGTTCGATACAGTACGACTCGGGCAACTGCTCTGTAACGAGTCAGTTGTATGTCCTTAACTGTCGCACTGTACTTGTCGGGTCAAAGGTTGCTGACCTTTGACTTTCGCGTAACCTCCAGCAACCTCTTTCAACCTCCGAGGGTTGACTCGCGGGTGTTTCGGTGTAGTTTGCCTCGCTTCTGGTGCGGTGTTTCGACACGACTGAAGCGCTTAAGTTTTATTGTTTCCAACACTCCCCTTCGCTTCTGGAGTGTCGCAGTTGATGACGTGGCTTTGTCCAGTCAGCAGCATGCAGTACTCGAACTTTTGTTTTCCAAGCTTCTTGGTCAAGTAGTCGGCTGCCATCTCAGACGTGGGACAGTACGATAGCTCGAGTCTCCCTTTCTCGATCTCGTCCTTTACGAAGAAGTAACGCAGGGCGATGTGTTTCGTCCTGTTCGCGAAACCGTTCTTGTTGGCGATACGAATTGCTGACTGGTTGTCGCAGAACACGGTGAAGTTGGGTAACTCGGCTAACTTCGCTTCTTCCAGCAGCTCGCGAAGGTAAAGTCCCTCCTTGGTGGCTGAGCAGAGCGCGATATATTCTGCTTCGGCTGAAGATAGTGCAATTAACTCCTGCTTGCTCGACTGCCAGGAGATAGGACCGATAGGCTCGAGGCGGTAGACATAGCCGGTGCGTGAGCGCCTGTTGTCAGTGTCGCCGGCATGATCGGCATCGACGTAGCCGATTAGCTTGGTTGGTGTAGCTGCGTTCTTGTGATAAGTTAGGCCGATCATCGCGGTGCTGATAAAGTAGTGCAGAGCGCGGTCAAGTTCCGCCAGGTGTTCTGCTTCAGGCTTCTTGAGATGAGTGGCGAGCTGGCTTGCGGAGTAGGATAGGTCGGGTCGGCAAGTGACGGCTGCGAAGAGGAGGCAACCTAGCTTCCTCTGATAGTCGCGTATGCCGGCGGGCTTAAGTGGGGCAGATTCCTTATCGGCTCCTGTCGTGTAGCGGTATGGTGTTGAGATCGCGGCTGGCGTAATTCCGAATCGTTTGGCGATGGTGTCGGCGTACTTTTCGGCGCTGAGGTAGATCGCGTCGTTATCTTCTCGAATGTTAAGTCCGAGATACTGTGTGACGGTAGATGAGACAGTGAGGGTGAGGTCCTTCTGCAGCTCCCCTTCGAACCAGGTGGTGATGCCGTCGGTAGAGCCGATGTAGAGGAGATCGTCCACATAGACGATTAGAAGAATGTAGTCGCTGTTCTTCGTGAGGCGGTACATGCCCTGATCGTGCGGGAGTTGTTTGAAGCCGATGCGGATGAGGCGAGTATGCAGGTACTGTTGCCACAGTCGCGGCGCCTGTTTGATCCCGTAGAGCGATTTTAGTAGCTGGCAGACGTGCGTGGAATTTGTGTTGGAGCCGTGCGGTAGTTCCACGAAAATCTCTGCATCGACCGGTGCGTAGAGAAATGCGTTCGCGACGTCGATTTGGCGTAGTTTCTTCTTCTTCATAGCGGCGATGGCGAGAAGAATTCGAAGTGAAGTGTGACGGCTGACCGGAGCGAAGGTTTCGGTGAAGTCTCGTCCATGTTCCTGGTCGAAGCCGCGAACGACCCAACGCGCTTTGAACTTGTCGATGGTGCCGTCGGCCTTCGTCTTCACACGGAAGACCCATTTCCCGGTAAGAATGGTCTTGTTTCGCGCTACGCCGATGGGAACGACTTTCCAGGTGTTGCGTTCCTCTAATGCCTTCAGCTCCTTGTCCATGGCTTCGCGCCATTTTTCCTTATGCTCCCCCCCCAGAGCCTGCTGAACTGTCGCAGGCTCCTTAGGAATGTTGACGCCGTGGACCGCGGTGACGAGACCAAGGATTTGGAGTCCGCTCTGTGTGTAGCGGGGGAGTGTGGTGTCCTCGGGATAGACTGCCTCGTCTCCAGTTTCTGGATCGGGTGCGAAGTTGGGCCCTATGCGTTCTGCTTCGTTGGTGTTGACTTCAGCAGGTGTAACGTAACCGTTGTCGGCGAAGTGGTAGTAAGTTTCGGCGTTGACGCTTTCGCGAGGGTTTTCTTCGTCCATCGGTACGTCCACTGAGCAGTAGGGAAGAGGTCCGGCTTCTTCCGAGGCTCCTTCCACATTCTGCTCGTCCCAGTCAGCTTCGTCTTCTGCCGAAGCGAAGGCTCGATCGCCACGGAAGCCGCCTGTGGGGTCTCGATTTTCGTCCAGGTTGGCAAGGTACGTTGGCAGCGTGAGTCGTTCGTAGAAAATGACATCACGTGCTGCTACTGTTTCTTTGGTGTGGATGTCGAAGATTTTCCACGCGTTGTAATGTTTTTCGATGCCCAGGTGTAGTCCCCACTGTGCGCGTTGAGAGAATCGGCCGGCTCGTGCAGATGGGGGTCGGTACTGTACCATGCAGCCGAAGACTCGTAACATTTTTGTGCTGCCCAGTTTTCCTGTCCACAGCAGATGCGGTGATGTGTTGTTCGGGAGTGACGACGAAGAAAGCAAGTTGTGCAGCATCACGGCGTGGTCCATTGCTTCGGGCCACTGGTGGTTGGGTAGCCGCATGCCACGTAACAGTTTGCGCATGGTGTTCTGCAGAGTCCTGTTCATCCTTTCTGCTACACCCTGCTGTTGATGGGCGTAGGGAAGGGAGATGAGTCTCTTGATTCCCTTCTCCGCCAGGTACTGCTTGAATCGCTGTGACGAGTATTCTCCTCCTCCGTCTGATTGGAAACTTTTGAGCTTAGCTCCCGATTCCCGTTCTGCTGCTGGAAGCCATGCCACGAAAGCTTCGAAAGCCATGTCGCGACTTGGTAAGTTTAGGTGCCAGACGTAACGTGTAGCGGCGTCGATGAAGGTGATGGTGTAGTTATACGCGTTTTGTCCGGGTTCGCGGTTGTACAAGATGTCGCTGTATACTTTCTCGAGTGGTGCATATGCAGGTGCGCTTGGGTTGTGATGCGAGACGAAGGGTTGATGCGGTAAGTCAGCTTCAGGACAGGTGAAGCAAGTCCCTCGTGCTCGTTGAAGTTCTCGTCCGTCTGTTAAAAGCAGAGAGTCCTTGTCGAGTACTCCTGCTCGAATCGTGTTATTTAGCACAGTGTTGCTTGGGTGTCCCATTCTTGCGTGCCAGATTTCTTCGTTGGCGCGATGACCGGGTGAGCGCTGGTACATGTCGGAGTTGGAGTAGAGACCGGTGGTGAAGCTGGGACTGTGATGAAATTCTCGTGGTGCTGGCTGAAGCTGTTGTGCAGGTGTTGGTGGTGCATTGTCGTTGAAGAGCGTCGTCGTTGAAGGACCAGCGACTGGTGTCGTCGTTGTCGCTGTTGCTGTTGTTGTCTCTGCTGCTGCCGACGTTGTTTCTGCTGCTGCCGACGTTGTCTCTGCTGCTGCCGACGTTGTTTCTGCTGCTGCCGACGTTGTCTCTGCTGCTGCCAACGTTGCCTCTGCTGCTGCCAACGTTGTCTGAATCGTTGCTAATGCTCTTGTTCTCTCTGTTTCAGGAATGGTATGTGAATACCAGAAGCCGCCTGGACTGAAGTCGGGGTCAAGATCCGGAGGGTGTGTCCAGTTGGTAAAGTTGACTATGGCGTCACTGTCAGCGGTGCCGAGATCAGGAACGAAGTCCAAGACGAAGACGTTGTTTTTAAGGACTGCCTTCCCGATGTAAAGACCTCCTCTCTTGTGGTACAACTTGAATTCTTGGGTAGTGCTGTCTGCTTCGAGGTGGATGCCTTTCGCCATCAACTGACTCACACTGAGAAGGTTGTATCCGAGGCCTTCTGCAATTAAAACCTTGGACATTTGCAGAATGACGTTTGTCTCCCGTGACTGAAGTTGTACAATTCCTTGTCGTCGTGTGCGCAGGTTTTGATTATTGGCGACGGTGATGACGACCTCTTGTTGAAGTTGATACTCTCTCTGTACGAAGCGACCCGAAGAGCACATGTGTTGTCCGCAGCAACTGTCCAAGAACCACGTGTCTTTTCCGGATGGCTCGTTTTGGGCGATGGCAGCGTATGTCGGATTTGGTTGAAGTGCTTCGCGACGAGGTGTGGTGTTGTCGAGTTGTTCTTCCGGTGAGTAATGAGGTGGTGAATCCATGACGCAAGAGTCACTCAGTCTTGCCATGCAGCTAACGATGTTTCTTGCTCCTTGCGCAGGTTGTCCCGTTGAGGTTGTTGAAGCTTGGATCTGGGTCGTTGGATTCGCTTGCGTTGACGCAATTTGACTGCTTGAAGGTCGAAGGTGTCGTTGCGGGGTCGTTGACTGTTGACGATTCGGGCAGTGCGTGCGCGGGTGCCCTGAAGTCTTGCAGATGTGACAGAAGGGAGGTACTGGCTTCGGCTGTTGTTGTCTGTTGCTGTAGTTGTTGTGTCGTCGTTGGGTGTGAAATGCGAACTCTGACGTTGTCGTCTTCTTCCTGTGTCGTTCTTCTTGCAGATCCATGTCCTGCTGTTCGGCGTGGATTTCGGCGCAGAGTGCTGCCTCAGAAATTCGTCCGTGGGCTCGGAGGATGGCCTTTGTTGCGCGCCACTGAGGACCGAGGCCGCCGATGATGATCGTCACGAAAGCGTCTTCAGAGATTGATCCTCCACATCGAAGAAGCTTGTCGCGCAGTTCGCGACATCGACTAACATATGCCATTCCTTTCTCTCCTGGTTTCATCTCAACTGTTGTCAGCTGCGCCATTAACCTGCTCTGATTTACACTGTCTGTTGCTTGGTACAGGTTCTTCAGATGGTTGTACGCGAGTTCCGCCGAGTTGCCGAAGGCCCGGTAAGAGCGAATGTTCTGCTGCTGAGTTGGTGTTACGTTCCTCAGTAGGATCGTATACGCCATCATCGATTGATAAGTGTACTGCTGCTTCTCATACTGTGTGCCGTTTGCTGGGTATTGCAGGGACCCGTCGAAGAAGCCAAGTATCTGCGCGCCCTCCATCATCAACTCGAACTCAAAGGACCAGGTGAAGAAGTCGTTTGGAACCTCCCGCACAGGATCGTTCAAGCATTTTGAGCATTGTGATTAGTGCGTCGAATGGTCTTGACGTTTGAAGCTTCAAAACGTGTGCGAACTGCGACTGTACTTGTAACGCGTCCAGTGATTTGTCTTGTGCAGGCGAAGACTGCGGCATGAAGCTGATTGACCCGCGTTCGTACGGGGCGAAGGTAGGTTGCTGCTGTTGATTTCCGCGCGCGTATGACGACCCGTCAAGGCTCATGGGCGTCGCTCCGTTGTTGCTGTTGTGTGTCTGTGCAGGTCCCGACTGCTGGTGCTGCTCGTAGAAGGACATGAAGGAGAAAAATTTTTCCATCATGCTTTGGTCGAAGTCCGTGGGGCGATTTGTGTGAATCTCGGTGGACGTCCCCCTGGGTCTTGTTGCCGTGCCTTCCTCTGTCTGCAGGCCAGAGGCAGGAGGTGGTGTAGGAGTAGTGCCCGGGGAGCCATTAGAAGAGCTCCTCTCCTTGTTTGTTGCCATGTCTTGTAATGTCTTTGATTTGGAAGTGGTAGAGTTTCCCCTGACTGCTCTCATACCATGTTGGGCTGAGATGGCCCCTTAGGATCTTTTCAGGAGTAACTCTGGGTAGGATAGTATTGTAACAGCGGAAGCTTTAATAAAACTTGTGAATCACCTTGCGCTAGTGTGTGAGGGCAAAGTAGATTGATTATAACAGGAAAGTACAAGAATATATAGTAGTGCAAGGAATATCAAAGGATACAGTTATAACTACTTTTACTGTTGCTGTTGCGGTTCGATACAGTACGACTCGGGCAACTGCTCTGTAACGAGTCAGTTGTATGTCCTTAACTGTCGCACTGTACTTGTCGGGTCAAAGGTTGCTGACCTTTGACTTTCGCGTAACCTCCAGCAACCTCTTTCAACCTCCGAGGGTTGACTCGCGGGTGTTTCGGTGTAGTTTGCCTCGCTTCTGGTGCGGTGTTTCGACACGACTGAAGCGCTTAAGTTTTATTGTTTCCAACACAAAACTGCTTTGTTATTTGTGTGCATAACCGAGCCAATCTTGTCACCTTGGTTTGTCTCAACTACTCCCTGACGTTTGTCCACCATCTTGTTGAGTCACACTGACTGGATTGAACTGTCACACACACATCGTTAAGGTATAAGAACACACACAGGAAGGAGGTGGTGGAGTGGAGGATATCAGGGAGAAGGTAAGTGGTTACCAATGGAATGCCACAGATGCGTTCAGAAAGATGAAAATAAACAAGGATAGCAGTGACTAGAAGTAGCGTGCACGTGGACAGGTTGTGCCGATGAGAGGCAAGCAAAGGAGGCAGGGAACGCATTTGACTCAACTGTTGGCATGAAAATGCTGCTTGTGAACACAATATTTTAATCTAGTACAAATTTCCCACCTTTCAAGAATGAGGATAAAACCCATTATGTTAGTGATCGAAAAGAAAAACACAAGCCGATGTGCACATACCCTCACCTGGCACACGGAATAAATGACGCTTTGCCATATTTGCCCCATAATGGGAGAAAAAAAGGTTGTACCCTTCAAGCTTGTACTAGAAATAAAAAATCTACTGGTGTACGCATTTTCTCACCTGGTACACAGAGTAAATAACGTTTCGTCGTATCTGCCCCATCATCGCGAGAAACAGGTTGTACCCTTTCAAGCTTGTACAGAAAGAGGTCGTACCCTTCAAGCTTGTACCAGAAATAAACTTCTACAGGTGTACAAATGTTCTCACCTGGTATACGGAATAAATGACGTTCCGTCGTATTTGCCCCATCATCGCGAGAAACAGGTTGTACCCTTCAAGCTTGTACTCAATAAGAGGGTCTCGCTGCGCATAGCCCCTTAAAGCCACGGCCTGCTGGGTGAATCTGAGCGCCTGCAGGTGCTCCTTCCAGAGCAGATCCATTTGAGTGACCACAAAGTACCGCTCTGCATCCCTCATTAACCCTGGAACTGCCGCTTCTACTTCTGCCTGTAGGAAGGGTCGAGGGGAGTTAGGGTTGAATTTTGAGAAAGGGGTTAAGAGGGGTTGCGAGGATTTTGAGGGGTTGCGAGGGGTTGAGAGGTTTTTGAGGTGTTGCAAAATGAGTGGAGGCAGGTGCTGTGTGATTTATACAGCAGCGCCGTCTGAATGAGTGTGGTGCGAAGGGGTTGAGAACGGTGATGGACAACCAAGAGCTGTGAAGATGGGTGAAGCTGGGCGATCCCTCAGCTGATACATCAGTGAGCTTAGGGAGTACCGCTTACATGATTCACAGAAGTCAGAGCAAGGCCAAAGTTTCTCCGCACCTTCATTGTGTAATAAGCTTCTTTGCTGCGTTGGTGTAGATACTCCCTCAGAGTATCTACAGTGTCGCTGTGATAGATAATGTCGTCTATTGACAAGTCAGTGAGCAGTGCACAGTACCTGCAGAAAACAGCACGGGAGGAAGACGAGGAAGAAAAATTGCGAAATAGTCCCTCAAAGTGTCTACAGTGTCGCTGAGGTACATTATGTCATCTATTGATAGGTCAGTGAGCAGTGCGCTGCACAGTACCTGCCAGAGAGGGGAGGGAAGGTGGGAAGTGAATGCAAGAACGGATATGGGCGGGAAAAAGATATGAATCACGTTGTCGATCGATAGATCAGTGCAATGCGCAATGTCGGTGTGACGAGTGAAGTGAAGGAAGATGAGGAGGGAGAGAGGAGCGAGGGTACATTCAAGGGAGAATCGCGATAGATAATACAACTATAAATAACACAGTGTTGGCAAAAAACAACAAGAAGAAGAAAAAGCACAATTGTTCATGGATGCAGCACTTACTGTTTGACCTTCTTTGTGAGAGCCTCAAAGTTCCACTCTTCCTGTGATAGTGATGGGTCGATGTTCGCCTGTGGGAGGGGGACAAGAGTTCAAGTGAGAGCAAAAAAAGCGAGAGCAGATAAAGGGAGAGCAAATTAAGTGAGAGCAGATAAAGCGAACATGTCTCCTTGGTACCATACCTAACCACGTCGCACCTGACTGCATGACACCTGACCACATTGCACCTGACAGCACCCCCTCTCACATTGACAATGTCGTCCATGGTCAGCTCTGCATACTCCAGCATCAGCCCCTCCAGATCGAAACCTTCACATAATGGCATGCCACCAGACTGCATCACACCTGACCGTTAATACTGCACCTAACCGCATCGCACCTCACTCCACCGCTTCTCACATTGACAATGTCGTCCATGGTCAGCTCTGGATACTCCAGCATCAGCCCCTCCAGACAGATGAGCTTCACAGTGTGTAACCTGATGGTTTGCCACCTGCTAGTACCTGACCGCACCGCACCTGATCGCACCTAACTGCATCGCACCTCACTCCACCGCTTCTCACATTGACAATGTCGTCCATGGTCAGCTCTGCATACTCCAGCATCAGCCCCTCCAGGTCATCTGTCTCCAGCGCTCTCCTCCTCTCCGAGTAGAACCGCTCCCTCTGGCTGTTCAGCACCTGGTGTGGTGGGGGGTGCAGTGTAAGGGCATCGAGTGCAGCAGGGGTGTCAGCATTCACAACCGTCACCGTCACCGCCACACCACACCACACCACACCACACCACACCGCCCCCGACCTGGTCGTATTCAAACGACTGCTTGCGAATATCGAAGTAGTAATTCTCCACCTTCCTCTGCACACCCTCTACCACAGACTAGCCAGTATCAGCGCACGCCCTATGAGCCGCACCGCACCACACCACACCGCCCCCCACCTGGTCGTATTCAAACGACTGCTTGCGAATATCGAAGTAGTAATTCTCCACCTTCCTCTGCGCATCCTCCAGCGCAGAATACACCTGTATCGGCACACACCCTATGGGCCGCACCGCACCGCATCCCACCTGGTCATATTCGAACAGCTGCTTGCGAATATCGAAGAAGTAATTCTCCACCTTCCTCTGCGCACTCTCCAGCGCAGAATACACCTGAATCGGCACACACCCTATGAGCCGCACCGCACCGCATCCCACCTGGTCGTATTCAAACAGCTGCTTGCGAATATCAAAGTAGTAATTCTCCACCTTCCTCTGCGCATCCTCCAGCGCTCAGTTCAGAAACGGCGACTCGATGGGCAGATCCTCCACGTGGAACGCCCTCATTAGCCCATCGATCCTCTCTCCCCCAAACACTCTCAGCAGATTATCTTCCAGGCTCAGAAAGAAGCGCGAGCTCCCTGGGTCCCCCTGCCGCCCGCTGCGGCCGCGTAGCTGGATGCATGGAGAGAAGGGAGTTAAAATCAGGGGGAACAGGCGGGAAACAGGGGGAAGGAGAGCAGCAGCAGTGGGGAGGAAGTGGGGCTCGATGGGCAGATCGTCCACGTGGAAGGCCCTCATCAGCCCAGCAATCCTCTCTCCCCAAACACTCTCAGCAAGTTATATTCGAGACTGAGGAAGGAAGAAGTGAGAACTGCCTGCATCTCCATGCTGCCCGCTGCGGCCCCTACACTGGGAGAAACGGGTGGTGGGACGGGGGGAGGAAGGAGAGGAGGGGGAAATTCAAGGGGGGTGGTTTGCCATAGAGGTTGCGGAGCAGCAATAGAAGTGGGCTTTATTGGTAGGCCCTCCAAGTGGAAGGCCCTCGTCAGCCCATCAATCCTCTTGAGCCCAAACACCACACCGCATAGCACCACACCACACCAATCTACAGATATTTTATGTAGAAGGCCCGCATGAGCCCATCAATCTTCTTGCTCCGCATCAATCAATTTCCTGGGCCGCTCTGCTGACTGCTGCAGGAGGATTGTTGTAGCAGTGAAGGTTTACAATAACGGTGTTATCGAGAAATCATCAGGGGGGGAGGTTCAGGAAGAGGAAGAGGTTCAGGCCATGCCATCACCGGGATTCTGCACACGGAGGAGGCTGATGAGGAAAAGGAAAAAAAAGAGATCCTTACACGCATGAGTAGATTGGTGGAGGAGTTTTTGACAATGAAGAAGATGAATTTCATTAGGGCGAATAGGGCCGGAATGATGGATTCGAGGAAAGTACTGCGGAAACTCCTCAACCAATCCATCATTACAAGTCTACTTGCCGTAATGAAATTCATTCCCTTCACTGTCAGAAACTCCTTTACCAATCCCCTCACGTGCGCAAAATCCGGGTGATGGCTGCCCACACCGCCGCCTCCTTCCTCTTCCTGAACCTTCCCCCCTGATGAATTTATAATACACCGTTATTGTAAACCTTCACCGCTACAACAATCCTCCTGCAACAGTGAGCAGAGAGATCCAGGAAGTTGATTGATGCAGTACAAGATTGATGGGCTCATGCGGGCCTTCCGTGATTGCAGCTACAAGCAGTTCCTGGAGACAACGTAGCTGCATTGCATGGAAGGAGATGAAGAGTGAACTGCTGGGATCTCCTTGCCGTAGTCTGATGTGCCGATGACATTTTGAGGCGCCTCAAATGTCAACCTTGAACCTTGAACTTTGAATCTTGAACCACTTACCTGGTTGTCAACACGTCTCGACTCGTGTCGATCTGTGCCGATCACATGCAGCCCCCCAGCAGCAATGTTAGAAGATTCAGTGCTCATACACAGGTTGCAACCGACCTACCTGGTTGTCCACGCGTCGTGACTCGCGTCGCTCCGTGCCAATCACATGCAGTTTGCTGCACGTTAAACCTTAAACCACGAACCTTGAACCACTCAACCTGATCTCATACCAGCCCACCTGGTTGTCCACACGTCGTGACTCGTGCCTCTCTGTGCCGATCACATGCAGGCCTCCAGCAGCAATGACTTTCCGCTTCTCCTCCTCTGTGAATCGTCGATACTCCCCTTCCACCACCTCGAAGGCTGCCCTTAATTGCTTCACCACAGGGTCAGCTGTGGGGCCCTGGGGGGAAGAGAAGAGGGGGGAGGGGAGAGGAGGGAGAGGGAAGAATGGTAGCAGTCTCTTGCAGCAGTGACCCTCCTCTTCCCCCTCTCCACATCCCCACACGCTGCTCTCAGTTGCTTCACCACAGGGTCAGTTGCTTTCTGTGAGAGGATCGCTCCCCCGCGCCGACACTGCTGCTGGAGTGCGGCCTGTGCTGCTCACGTGCTATTGTCTCAGTTGAAACATAACGCCTATCCACCACCTTCTCAAACTCGAAATGCCAGCCTGTCCCCTGCCTCCAATGCTGTGACCAGAATTTCTTCCCCATGCCTCCACTGCTACTTGCACTGCCGCTGCTGCTGTTGCCCGTGTGCCCGTGTGCCCGTGTCTCGTTTGAACATACCCCTATTCCTACTTGCCTTCCCACCTGCTCTCACCTTCTCACATGCGAATGCCAGTCTGTCTTCTGCCTCCAGTGTGGTGAGCGAACTGCTCCCCCACGACTCCACTGCTGCTTGCACTGCCTCGCTTACAGCATCAGTGAGGTCAGGCGAGAGAGGACAAGGGAAGAGATTGGCCGGCACCTGGTGGGGTGGGAAGGGGTGGGAGGGAGAAGTCACACAAAGACTCAAGGTGATTTCCCACTCATAGAGCAATACTTTCCCATGCCTGCACTGCTGCTTGCACCGCCTCGTTCACAGCATCAGTGAGGTCAGGTGAGAGAGGACAGGGGAAGAGATTGGCCGGCACCTGCAGAAAACAGAAGGGGCGGGCGAGAGAAGTGAGAGATACATGAAGACTCGGAATATGATTTTCAACTCATAGAACCTAACTCCTCCATGTCTGCACTGCTGCCTGCAATGGCTGCCTTTCGTTAATTACACGAGTAAAGTCGGGCGAGAGTGGACAGGGGAAGAGACTTGGCGGCACCTCTTGGGGATGGGGAAAGGAGCAGAGGGGGATGGGAATAGGAGGGTTGGAGATGGAAATAGAACAGGAGAATGGGAATAAGAGGGCAAGGGACTCAAAGGAATCTGTTGAGATTATTCCCTTACGCCTGCACAACAATCGCCTGTTCTTTGCATGTGCCAAAACATACCGTCCAGGTTCACTGCACATAGCAGGAAATAGTGTCCAGGTTCTTTGCATGTGCCAGAACATACCGTCCAGGTTCACTGCACATGGCAGGATATACCGTCCAGGTTCATTGCATATGGCAAGACATACCGTCCAGGTTCGTTTGACGGCAATCTTCGTTTTGCCTTGGGATATGAATGCCACATCGTCTGCCGTCACCACTCTGTGGGAAGCAGCAGGCAGGAGGAGGGGAGGGAGCACAGGAGCAGGGAAGAGTTTAAGAGCAGAGGAGAGGGAAAGAGCCAGACAGGAGAAGAGAGAAACACAAGGATCTAATCATTATTACTACTCTCACCGTCCCATGCAACCACACACCCTTCTACAGCACTGCACTGCACCGCACTGCACCTGGGCATAAGCGCCTCCCTGAGCTTCAGCTGGGCCATGAACACTGCATTGCCGCCCAGCAGGATGTAAGTTCCCCGCGCAGCCATGTTGGTTGCTAACTTTCACCGCACTGCACCGCACTGCCTTCCACAGTACACCCTTGCATCACCCTTCAACTGCATTCCACCGCACTGCACCTGGGCATGAGCGCCTCCCTCAGCTTCAGCCGGGCCATGAACTCTGCATTGCCGCCCAGGAGGATGTCAGTTCCCCGCCCAGCCATGTTGGTTGCTATGGTCACCGCCCCCACTCGCCCGCTCTGCGCCACTATCTCTGCTTCTCTCTCCACGTTCTCTGGCTTGGCGTTGAGAACCTGTGAGGCGAAGGGGTGAGGAGAGGGGGTGAGGAGAGGGGGTGAGGAGAGGGGGTGAGGAGAGAGGGTGAGGAGAATGGAAGGGAGAAAAGGATGTATGGGAAAATATGAAGCCACGTTGGCTGCACCGTCACCGGCCCCACGTGTCCGCTCTGCGCCACTATCTCTGCTTCTCTCTCCACGTTCTCTGGCTTGGCATTGAGCACCTGTGCGAATGGAGGGGTCGAGGAGTGATAGACGGACAGATGGATGGATGGATGGATGGATGGATGGATGGACGGACGGACGGACGGACGGACGGATGGATGGATGGATGGATGGATGGATGGATGGATGGACGGACGGACGGACGGACGGACGGATGGATGGATGGATGGATGGATGGACGGACGGACGGACGGACGGACGGATGGATGGATGGATGGATGGATGGATGGACGGACGGACGGACGGACGGACGGACGGACGGATGGATGGATGGATGGATGGACGGACGGATGGATGGATGGATGGATGGACGGACGGACGGACGGACGGACGGATGGATGGATGGATGGATGGATGGATGGATGGACGGACGGACGGATGGATGGATGGATGGATGGATGGATGGACGGACGGACGGACGGACGGACGGATGGACGGATGGATGTTGATTTTGAGAATTCTCAAAATCAACCTCCAAAAAAATGGATGGATGTGCGGGAGAGTGTAGGGGTTGAGTGAGGAGAAGCCATGTTAGTTGGCATTCAGCACCTATCAAGAGGGAGAAATGGGAAAGAATGGCGAGGAGAGACGTGCCGATAGCACCTCGCTGCTATCAACTGAAGAGGTGCCCACCAGCACAGGCTGCACACACCATAACACCTCACCCCACACACACACACATCAGAACGTACCTTACATCTCCGCAATTTTTTAGGCGCCTCAAAAACCAGCACAGGCTGCACACACCATAAAACCTAACCACACACACACATCATAACGTACCTTACATCTCCGCACCTGGTGGGGGACGTTTGCCTCCTTCAGCTTGGCTGAGAGCGCCTCGCTTCTCTCAACCGACGTGGTGCCCACCAGCACATGGCATAGCAGGATACCGTCCCCAGCGGCACAGCACCCCACTGCACAGCACACACTCATCGCACCTGGTGGGGGACGTTTGCCTCCTTCAGCTTCGCCGAGAGTGCCTCACTGATCTCAACCGACGTGGTGCCCACCAGCACTGGCCTCACGGCTCGCACCGTTGGACCACACCGCATGCACACACCAAAACAAAGCCCTGCAATGCAAAACATATCACCTCACCTGATGCGGTACGTTCGCTTCCTTCAGCTTGGCTGAGAGTGCCTCGCTGATCTCAACCGACGTGGTGCCCACCAGCATATGCGTGCAGGGGGGCCGCACACACCATAATACCACACCACCACACCTCTTGCAATGCACATCTCCTCACCTGATGCGGAACGTTCGCTTCCTTCAGCTTGGCTGAGAGCGCCTCGCTGATCTCAACCGACGTGGTGCCCACCAGCACCGACACAGCACAGTAGCATGCTTCCCAGGGCCACAATGCAGCACAGCACCACACTGCACCGCACAGAACAGCACAGACTTTCCTCACCTGGTGAGGAACATTTGCTTCCTTCAGCTTCGCCGAGAGCGCCTCGCTGATCTCAACCGACGTGGTGCCCACCAGCACCGGCCGCCCCTCTGCATGGCGCCCCTTCACATCCGCCACCACTGCCCTCCACTTGCCCACCGACGTGCGGTAAACTACATCTTGCTCGTCCTGTAGTTGGTGTGAAGACAATAGCAAGTTGATAACAACAGAGGGAAGGAATGATAGACCACCTCACCAGCATTAGCCGCCCCTCTGCATGGCGCCCCTTCACATCCGCCACCACGGCCCTCCACTTGCCCACCGACGTGCGATACACCACGTCTTGCTCATCCTGTGAAGCAGAGAAGAAGAGGTGGCAAGGTTTATAGCAAGCAGCAGATAGAAAAAAAATCAATGAATGATAAGCTAATAGCACTGGCCGCCCTTTCACGAAGGAAACCCAACTCTCACCTTTCTCTGCAGAGGCCGGTTGGTGGGGACCTCCGCCACAGCCAGCTTGTAGATGCCACCAAACTCGTCTGCCTCTGTGGCTGCCGTGCCTGTCATGCCGCACAGCTTGGGGTACTGCAGAGCAGGTGGATACACAGGGAAGGCGCGGGGTGGGAGGATGATAAACAGGCTCAGGGTTTAGGCTGCTTGCGACCAAACTCGTCTGCCTCCGTGGCTGCCGTGCCAGTCCTGCCGCACAGCTTGGGGTACTGCAGACAGGCGAATAGAAGGTAAAAGAGAGAGCCAGGGGGAAGGGGGAAAAGGGGGAGTGGTTAGATAGGGTTTCCTCGACAGCTGATGCCTCTGTGGCAGCAGTGCCAGTCATGCCACACAGCTTGGGGTACTGCAGACAGGCGAATAGAATGTAAAAGAGAGAGCCAGGGGGAAGGGGGAAAAGGGGGAGTGGTTAGATAGGGTTTCCTCGACAGCTGATGCCTCTGTGGCAGCAGTGCCGGTCATGCCACACAGCTTGGGTTTACTGCCATCCATGGGATACACACAGGGAATGGGGTTGTTGAGAATGAGCACGGGAGTGGTTTCAACCGCTTGCCACCGATTTTGAATGATCACATGGCTGCTAGGCCTTTCATGTCCCACACACACAGCTTGGGGTACTGCCATGCCAGGGGATAGACACAGAAAATGGAGTTGTCGAGAATTAGGATGGGAGCCTAGTGCACACACTCACTCCACCACACTTGTGAGTGTTTTTTTAGTCGACTAAAAAATACACTCACTCCACCACACTTGTGAGTGATTTTTGAGAATTCTCAAAAATCACTCACAAGGATGGGAGCCTGGTGCACGCACTCACTCCACCACACTACCCTCTGCAAGCCCGTCCTGACCTGACTTGATGTTTTCACACACACACCCCGAAGCCTGCAATACCTGCAGGAAGAAGTTCTGGTACCTGATAGACGCCAGGCTGACTGTCTCGTTCTGAATCGCCACTCCCTCCTTCGCCTCCACTGTTTGATGCACGCCCTCACTCCACACAAGCCCATCTTCTATGCAAGCACATCAAACAAGCATGCATGCATGCATACAGTTGCCCTGCCATACCTGCAGGAAGAAGTTCTGATAGCTTATAGAAGCCAGGCTGACAGTCTCGTTCTGAATCGCCACGCCCTCCTTCGCTTCCACTGCCTGGTGCACGCCTTCACTCCTCACAAGCCCATTGCCCATGCAAGCCCACCGAGGTGACTTTTGAGTCGACTCAAAAGTCGCCCTCCTTCGCTTCCACTGCCTGGTGCACGCCTTCACTCCTCACAAGCCCATTGCCCATGCAAGCCCACCGAGGTGACTTTTGAGTCGACTCAAAAGTCGCCCTCCTTCGCTTCCACTGCCTGGTGCACGCCTTCACTCCTCACAAGCCCATTGCCCATGCAATGCAAGCCCACCTTCCATGACAGCACGTATTGATACCTGCAGGAAGAAGTTCTGATAGCTTATAGAAGCCAGGCTGACAGTCTCGTTCTGAATCGCCACGCCCTCCTTCGCTTCCACTGCCTGGTGCACGCCCTCACTCCACCGCCGCCCCTCCATTATCCTCCCTGTAAACTCATCCACTATAAGCACCGCGCCGTCGCGCACAATGTACTGCGCATCCTTGGTGAAGAGCTCCTTGGCTTTAATTGCGTTGAGGAGGAAGGACGCCCATTGCTGCTTGGGGTCGTACAGGTCGGTGACTTTGAGCACCAGCTCTGCTTCTTCATAGCCTGTCTCTGTTAGCAGTACCACCTTCTGCTTCTCGTCCACCTGAATAGGATGGGCAGATAGAAGAAGGCAGGTAGGGAAGGCAGGCAGGCGGGTAGGGAAGGCAGGCAGGCGGGTAGGGAAGGAAGAGGAAGAAGGCAGACAGGAAGAGCGCAAAGGAGAGGCTGAAAGAAACAAAACATATCAATTCACCAACCACTCACTCACCGTGTAGTGTGAGTCCCTCTCGAAAGCCGCAGTGATCTTGGCAGCAACAAGGAAACAGAGGTCCTGTCAAGCTGTCAACCCACCAACTCACTCACCGTGTAATGCACGTCCTTCTCAAAAGCAGCAGCGATCTTAGCAGCGATAAGGTAGCCCTCACCGTGTAGTGCATTACTAAGCTGTCAACCCACCAACTCACTCACCGTGTAATGCACGTCCTTCTCAAAAGCAGCAGCGATCTTAGCAGCGATAAGGTAGCCCTCACCGTGTAGTGCATTACTAAGCTGTCAACCCACCAACTCACTCACCGTGTAATGCACGTCCTTCTCAAAAGCAGCAGCGATCTTAGCAGCGATAAGGTAGCCCTCACCGTGTAGTGCATTACTAAGCTGTCAACCCACCAACTCACTCACCGTGTAATGCACGTCCTTCTCAAAAGCAGCAGCGATCTTAGCAGCGATAAGGTAGCCCTCACCGTGTAGTGCATTACTAAGCTGTCAACCCACCAACTCACTCACCGTGTAATGCACGTCCTTCTCAAAAGCAGCAGCGATCTTAGCAGCGATAAGGTAGCCCTCACCGTGTAGTGCATTACTAAGCTGTCAACCCACCAACTCACTCACCGTGTAATGCACGTCCTTCTCAAAAGCAGCAGCGATCTTAGCAGCGATAAGGTAGCCCTCACCGTGTAGTGCATTACTAAGCTGTCAACCCACCAACTCACTCACCGTGTAATGCACGTCCTTCTCAAAAGCAGCAGCGATCTTAGCAGCGATAAGGTAGCCCTCACCGTGTAGTGCATTACTAAGCTGTCAACCCACCAACTCACTCACCGTGTAATGCACGTCCTTCTCAAAAGCAGCAGCGATCTTAGCAGCGATAAGGTAGCCCTCACCGTGTAGTGCATTACTAAGCTGTCAACCCACCAACTCACTCACCGTGTAATGCACGTCCTTCTCAAAAGCAGCAGCGATCTTAGCAGCGATAAGGTAGCCCTCACCGTGTAGTGCATTACTAAGCTGTCAACCCACCAACTCACTCACCGTGTAATGCACGTCCTTCTCAAAAGCAGCAGCGATCTTAGCAGCGATAAGGTAGCCCTCACCGTGTAGTGCATTACTAAGCTGTCAACCCACCAACTCACTCACCGTGTAATGCACGTCCTTCTCAAAAGCAGCAGCGATCTTAGCAGCGATAAGGTAGCCCTCACCGTGTAGTGCATTACTAAGCTGTCAACCCACCAACTCACTCACCGTGTAATGCACGTCCTTCTCAAAAGCAGCAGCGATCTTAGCAGCGATAAGGTAGCCCTCACCGTGTAGTGCATTACTAAGCTGTCAACCCACCAACTCACTCACCGTGTAATGCACGTCCTTCTCAAAAGCAGCAGCGATCTTAGCAGCGATAAGGTAGCCCTCACCGTGTAGTGCATTACTAAGCTGTCAACCCACCAACTCACTCACCGTGTAATGCACGTCCTTCTCAAAAGCAGCAGCGATCTTAGCAGCGATAAGGTAGCCCTCACCGTGTAGTGCATTACTAAGCTGTCAACCCACCAACTCACTCACCGTGTAATGCACGTCCTTCTCAAAAGCAGCAGCGATCTTAGCAGCGATAAGGTAGCCCTCACCGTGTAGTGCATTACTAAGCTGTCAACCCACCAACTCACTCACCGTGTAATGCACGTCCTTCTCAAAAGCAGCAGCGATCTTAGCAGCGATAAGGTAGCCCTCACCGTGTAGTGCATTACTAAGCTGTCAACCCACCAACTCACTCACCGTGTAATGCACGTCCTTCTCAAAAGCAGCAGCGATCTTAGCAGCGATAAGGTAGCCCTCACCGTGTAGTGCATTACTAAGCTGTCAACCCACCAACTCACTCACCGTGTAATGCACGTCCTTCTCAAAAGCAGCAGCGATCTTAGCAGCGATAAGGTAGCCCTCACCGTGTAGTGCATTACTAAGCTGTCAACCCACCAACTCACTCACCGTGTAATGCACGTCCTTCTCAAAAGCAGCAGCGATCTTAGCAGCGATAAGGTAGCCCTCACCGTGTAGTGCATTACTAAGCTGTCAACCCACCAACTCACTCACCGTGTAATGCACGTCCTTCTCAAAAGCAGCAGCGATCTTAGCAGCGATAAGGTAGCCCTCACCGTGTAGTGCATTACTAAGCTGTCAACCCACCAACTCACTCACCGTGTAATGCACGTCCTTCTCAAAAGCAGCAGCGATCTTAGCAGCGATAAGGTAGCCCTCACCGTGTAGTGCATTACTAAGCTGTCAACCCACCAACTCACTCACCGTGTAATGCACGTCCTTCTCAAAAGCAGCAGCGATCTTAGCAGCGATAAGGTAGCCCTCACCGTGTAGTGCATTACTAAGCTGTCAACCCACCAACTCACTCACCGTGTAATGCACGTCCTTCTCAAAAGCAGCAGCGATCTTAGCAGCGATAAGGTAGCCCTCACCGTGTAGTGCATTACTAAGCTGTCAACCCACCAACTCACTCACCGTGTAATGCACGTCCTTCTCAAAAGCAGCAGCGATCTTAGCAGCGATAAGGTAGCCCTCACCGTGTAGTGCATTACTAAGCTGTCAACCCACCAACTCACTCACCGTGTAATGCACGTCCTTCTCAAAAGCAGCAGCGATCTTAGCAGCGATAAGGTAGCCCTCACCGTGTAGTGCATTACTAAGCTGTCAACCCACCAACTCACTCACCGTGTAATGCACGTCCTTCTCAAAAGCAGCAGCGATCTTAGCAGCGATAAGGTAGCCCTCACCGTGTAGTGCATTACTAAGCTGTCAACCCACCAACTCACTCACCGTGTAATGCACGTCCTTCTCAAAAGCAGCAGCGATCTTAGCAGCGATAAGGTAGCCCTCACCGTGTAGTGCATTACTAAGCTGTCAACCCACCAACTCACTCACCGTGTAATGCACGTCCTTCTCAAAAGCAGCAGCGATCTTAGCAGCGATAAGGTAGCCCTCACCGTGTAGTGCATTACTAAGCTGTCAACCCACCAACTCACTCACCGTGTAATGCACGTCCTTCTCAAAAGCAGCAGCGATCTTAGCAGCGATAAGGTAGCCCTCACCGTGTAGTGCATTACTAAGCTGTCAACCCACCAACTCACTCACCGTGTAATGCACGTCCTTCTCAAAAGCAGCAGCGATCTTAGCAGCGATAAGGTAGCCCTCACCGTGTAGTGCATTACTAAGCTGTCAACCCACCAACTCACTCACCGTGTAATGCACGTCCTTCTCAAAAGCAGCAGCGATCTTAGCAGCGATAAGGTAGCCCTCACCGTGTAGTGCATTACTAAGCTGTCAACCCACCAACTCACTCACCGTGTAATGCACGTCCTTCTCAAAAGCAGCAGCGATCTTAGCAGCGATAAGGTAGCCCTCACCGTGTAGTGCATTACTAAGCTGTCAACCCACCAACTCACTCACCGTGTAATGCACGTCCTTCTCAAAAGCAGCAGCGATCTTAGCAGCGATAAGGTAGCCCTCACCGTGTAGTGCATTACTAAGCTGTCAACCCACCAACTCACTCACCGTGTAATGCACGTCCTTCTCAAAAGCAGCAGCGATCTTAGCAGCGATAAGGTAGCCCTCACCGTGTAGTGCATTACTAAGCTGTCAACCCACCAACTCACTCACCGTGTAATGCACGTCCTTCTCAAAAGCAGCAGCGATCTTAGCAGCGATAAGGTAGCCCTCACCGTGTAGTGCATTACTAAGCTGTCAACCCACCAACTCACTCACCGTGTAATGCACGTCCTTCTCAAAAGCAGCAGCGATCTTAGCAGCGATAAGGTAGCCCTCACCGTGTAGTGCATTACTAAGCTGTCAACCCACCAACTCACTCACCGTGTAATGCACGTCCTTCTCAAAAGCAGCAGCGATCTTAGCAGCGATAAGGTAGCCCTCACCGTGTAGTGCATTACTAAGCTGTCAACCCACCAACTCACTCACCGTGTAATGCACGTCCTTCTCAAAAGCAGCAGCGATCTTAGCAGCGATAAGGTAGCCCTCACCGTGTAGTGCATTACTAAGCTGTCAACCCACCAACTCACTCACCGTGTAATGCACGTCCTTCTCAAAAGCAGCAGCGATCTTAGCAGCGATAAGGTAGCCCTCACCGTGTAGTGCATTACTAAGCTGTCAACCCACCAACTCACTCACCGTGTAATGCACGTCCTTCTCAAAAGCAGCAGCGATCTTAGCAGCGATAAGGTAGCCCTCACCGTGTAGTGCATTACTAAGCTGTCAACCCACCAACTCACTCACCGTGTAATGCACGTCCTTCTCAAAAGCAGCAGCGATCTTAGCAGCGATAAGGTAGCCCTCACCGTGTAGTGCATTACTAAGCTGTCAACCCACCAACTCACTCACCGTGTAATGCACGTCCTTCTCAAAAGCAGCAGCGATCTTAGCAGCGATAAGGTAGCCCTCACCGTGTAGTGCATTACTAAGCTGTCAACCCACCAACTCACTCACCGTGTAATGCACGTCCTTCTCAAAAGCAGCAGCGATCTTAGCAGCGATAAGGTAGCCCTCACCGTGTAGTGCATTACTAAGCTGTCAACCCACCAACTCACTCACCGTGTAATGCACGTCCTTCTCAAAAGCAGCAGCGATCTTAGCAGCGATAAGGTAGCCCTCACCGTGTAGTGCATTACTAAGCTGTCAACCCACCAACTCACTCACCGTGTAATGCACGTCCTTCTCAAAAGCAGCAGCGATCTTAGCAGCGATAAGGTAGCCCTCACCGTGTAGTGCATTACTAAGCTGTCAACCCACCAACTCACTCACCGTGTAATGCACGTC